AAATAAAATATTTAAATCTTTGCTCGTTCTATTAGAAAAGATGACAAACCCTATTTCCACAAATATTTGATTAACTAAAAGGTTATTAATATAAAAGTAGCTGGTGGATGGTATTTAAGATTCAGCTCAGCCGAATATAGCACTCTTACTTGTCAGTACTAACAATACCAAAAACGATGGTACCAAAACATTTTTAAAATTATCATTTTTACAAGAGATATATCAAAACAAATATATATCCTTTTTAACAGCCTATTATTTTGCACAGCAATGTACATATGTATGTACAGTGTCTCTCATAAGTATTCGAATTTAGGTAAACTATGAAAAGAAACCAAATTTAATAATATATTTTGTGTGGGAAATAAATAAATTAATTTGTTATATTGTCTAGATAGTCCTTAGTTTTGATATCACGCCCCTTAAAACTTGAAAACTTTACATTTACTTAAATTAGTTGTGCTTTTTTTAAAAAAAGTCCATGAAACTACTTCACAAAAGTATGCGAATTTTTCCTGTATTTCATATTTGATCATATTATACGATACACACATTTTAGAATCGCATGGTTTTATGCTTAATATGGGTTTAAGGGGTTACTATCAACCGCATGGATATATTTTTGACCCATTTGGTCCACAATTTTGGGGGATTTGTACCCTCTTTTCATGTAATATCATTAAAATGGCGATTTTTGGCTATATTTGTAATGTTTTCACCCTTTTTCCAGAGATAAAACCAAAATTTAATATTGGAATTTAATAGAACCCATAGGGTATCTAAAAATAATATTTTTTGTTATAAGGATCTGTACTTAAACGTTCCAAGATGTATTTTTGCTATCGTTTTGCAGTTTCTAATTGAATTATCTGGATCATAAGTCCCTTTTCGTACCTCTAGGGACGATATTTTCCGACAAAGTTGTCTAGTGTATATTCATGTACATATTGGCACTAATATATTTTAAATTTTCAATATATTATAGCGGTATACAACCCCAAAACATGCCTTAACAAAACGTCATCCTATATAGTAGATTTCAGTTTTTACTACTCGTAACTTTTACGCTTATGTTGCCCGTTACAATAACACTGTAAGTCCAAAATTTTGGTTTTAATTTGATCATAGTAAATAATATTTAAACACATATCAACATTTTTGAGTTAGATCATAATGATATCGTGCCATGCAGCTTGGAGGCCATTGGTATATAAAAATAATTATTTTACTGTTTTGAATGGTGTTTCTTCGAGGCATGTTTTGGAGTTGTACACTTCCACAACACATTGAAAACTTAAAATGTATAAAAGCTGATATCTAAAAGAATATATACCAGAAAACTTTCCCCGAAAATAGTTGATCCTAGTATTATAAAAATGGACTTAAGTTCCAATATATTGAATTAGCGAAAGAAGAATGATCCGAATAATTTATCTTGGAACGTTTAAATACAGATTCTTGTAACAAAAGATATTATTTTTAGATACCCCAAGGGGTCTTTTAAGTACCAATATCAAATTTTTGTTTTATCTCTGAAAAAAAGGAGAAAAATTTACAATTATGGCCAAAAATCGCTATTTTAATGATATTACATGAAAAAAGGGTACAAATTCCCCAAAATTGTGGACCAAATGGGCCAAAAATATATCCTTTCCGTGGATAGTAACCCCTTAAAACAATATTACGCATAAAAACCATTCGATTCTAAAATTTGTGTTGCGTATAATATGAACAAATATGAAATACAGGAAAAATTCGTATACTTTTGTGAGGCAATTTCATGGACTTTTTTTAAAAAAGCACAATTAATTTAAGTCAATACAAATTTTTCAAGTTTTAAAAAGCGTGATATCAAACATAAGGACTATCTAGACAATATAACAAATTAATTTATTTATTTTGCACACAAAATATATTATTAAATTTGGTTTCTTTTTATAGTTTACCCAAATTCGAATAATTATGAGAGACACTGTATGTGAAAAGTGCTTATATCAAAAAGTGGAATATGTATAAAGTAATCTTCTTTTATATATATAACAAGTAAGAGTGCTATATTCGGCTGTGCCGAATCTTATATACCCTTCACCATAGTGTTTTTAAAAAATATCAATTTTATAAAATTGAAATTTATTTAATTTTCACGACAATATCATTATTATAGTAATAGCTAAACAAAATAAACAACAACGCTAAACGAAATAAACACACTAAATACACAAGGCAGTAAAACCAGCAGACATGCAAACATACGAAACGAAGTACACAAAAAAAACAAAAACAAAATACACAACGCAATGAAACCAACAGACATCCAAACATACGAAACTGAATATACCAAGAAATAAAAACAACATACACATGGCAATGAAACACACAGCCATTCAAACATACGAAACGAAATAATCAAAAAAACAAAAACAAAATACACAAAGCAATGAATAAGCAGTGTTGTTGTTGCTTATTTTTTATGAAATTTTCAGAGGTTGTCTCCGATTTTTGTTTATATCTCCGTTGTTTATGGACGGATTTTGCTGATTTTAAATAGGAAACTTCTCGAAAGCATGTCTGATAGATTTATTGAAGAGTTGGATCCCAAAGATATCTGGGGTCTTCAGAAAACTGATTTCAACAGACAGACGAACAGACAGACAGACGGACATGGCTTAATCGACTCCGCTATCTATAAGGATTCAGAATATATATGCTTTATAGGGTCGGAAAATTATATTTTGGAAATTACAAACGGAATGACAAACTTATATATACCCTTCTGACGAAGGTGAAGGGTATAAAAATGATTGTGTGTTTATTTGTTTGTGGGTTTGTTTGTTTGTTTGTTTGAAGTCTATATACGGCTGGACCGATTTTCTTGAAATTTTAACAGTACCTGTATATCTGGAAGGAACTATAGGCTACTTTTTATTTTAAAATTTCAAGTAGGCGAGGTGCCACGCCTACTTATTAAATTACTATTAAAAGTCATATATCTTGGAAACTGGTACAATTAGAGTTCTCAAATTTTGCACGGACAACTTTGACATCCATAAGAATATTTTTGGACAAAATGGGCGGAATGACTATAGTGGGCGTGGCACCTTCCATATTAAGAAAATATTAAATCAGTATATCTAGGAAAATGTAACAGTTAGAGCCCTCAAATTTGGTCGGAGCCACATAAGTCTCAATATGATTAGTTAGGATAAAAAGTGGGCGGACTAGCAGCAGGGGGCGTGGCACCTCCCATATTAATTAAATACACAAATTCGTTTATCTTGGAAACTATTAGAGTTAAAAGCTTCAAATTTTGCACGAAGAATTTTAGCATCCTTGTAAATATTTTGGCTAATAAATTGGCGGACTACCAATGGGGGGAGCGGCACCTCCCATATGAATTAAATACAACAAAATATTTTATCTAAGAAACTAATAGAACTACATTACTAAAATTTTGCAAAAAGGACTTTCATATTCATCTGAACATTTTGGGGGAAAAAGCGGACTTTCATCAGGGGGTGGCTTTGAACCCCCATATGAATTATATAGAAAAATTTTTATATCTGAGATACTGTAAAAGCTAGAATCTTCAAAATTTACATGAATAACTTTGACATTCATGTGAACATTTAGAGAAAAATTGGCGGACTTTCAATGGGGGGATTGGCCCCTCCCATATGAATTAAATTCGGAAAAATTGGCGAACTTGCAATAATTTGAGTGGCATCTCCCATGTGTAAGTGGGTTTTTTTTTTTGCTTTTAGGGTAGCAAAGCACACTGGGTATAGCTAGTCTATATATATAAAAAATGAATGTGTGTTTGTATGTTTGTATATTTGAAGTTTATAGACTTCTAATCGGCTGCACCGATTTTCTTGAAATTTTCACAGTGTACTATTGTTTGTCGGGAAGAGGTTATGGGCCACTTTTTACTTTGAAATTTCATGTAGGCGAGAACCCACGCCCACACACAAAATAAGTATTAAAAGTCGCATATCTCAGAAACTGCAACAGCTATAGTACTAAAAATGTTTATGGACAACGGATGTTAAAGTCTATAGACGGCTAAACTGCTAGACCGATTTTCTTGGAATTTTCACAGTGTCTTTGTGTATGCCTGGAAGGAATTATAGGCTACTTTTACAACAAACTAACAGAAACTACTACAGCTAGAGTCCACAAATTTTGTATGGACAATTTTGACATAGATATGAACAATTGTAGGCAAAATGGGCGGACTAAGTATAGTGGGCGTGGCACTTCCTATATACAGAAAATATTGAATTAGTATTTATGAGAAAATGTGTGTATATAAGTTAGAGTCCTCAAATTTTATGAGAGCCACTTTAGTAAGCCACTTTTGCAAGAACAACTTGGACATCCATGTGAACATTAGTGTAATAAATTGGCGGATAAGCATTAGGGGGCGCATAAGAATAAAATACAAAATTTCGTATATCTAGGAAACTATGAGAGATAGAATCATCAAATGTTGCAGGAATAATTTGACACCTATGGAAACTACAACAGGTAGGAGACCTGAACTGTTGTAGCTTTAGAATCAATATGAACATTTGGTTTAAGAATAAGTCGACTAGAAATACTGGGCGTGGCTCCTTCCATATAAATTAAATACTCAAAGTCGTATATCTGGGAATATAAAACAACTAAAAAAATTTATATGGGAATATGGTTTTTGTGTAGCAAAGCACACTGGGTAAGCTAATCTTTTATATGAAATTGATCAACAGAGATATTTGAAACTAATAAAATATAACAGTGATGACTATAAAGAAAACTACTGAAATGTAATTTAAAAAGAGGACGAAATGTTTAAAATTTTATGTTCCTGCTTATTTTTAATGAAAAGCTATTAAAATCTCCTATTTATTAAATAGAAATTTATATATTATAAAGTATTTTATTGTTAAAAATCTCGGTTTTCGGTATTTCAATTCCCGAAATTTATTCATTACAAAAACTCAAATATTTATTACTTCTAGGTTATGGTATTGCTACTCCAAAGGGTTCACCTTGGCGTGATAAAATTTCTCTAGCTATTTTGGAATTACAAGAAAAAGGCGATATTCAAATGCTGTATGACAAATGGTGGAAAAATACTGGTGAAACTTGCATAAGAAATCGCAATAATAAAAAATCTAAAGCTAATGCTTTAGGCCTTGACAATATTGGTATGATAGCAATATACTTACATACTTAATGGCAATTTCGTGTCAAGTGACCCAACTTTTAAAATCGATGCCTGCCGATTTGGATGAAATTTGTACCAAGGTTAGTACTATTGTATAGTAAGCTAGAAACAAATTTTCAGCTGTATCGGTCAAGAACTGCCGGACTTAGAGGTTGTCAAATTGGACATTTTGGTCATACAGGGCTTTACTCAAATGAGTGTAATTTTGCACCTACTGGTCTTAGCAAAAATTGTCCACAGGAGTTCAGAAAGCTTCATTTGTTTTTAAATTTTTTTATATTTTTTTTAATTGGCCCTTTTTTGCTAAATAAAACTTATACGATTTCCTTTAGGGGTTTATAATCCCATAATGGGATGCGAGTGGGATAAATATCAAAAAAATAATTTTTTAACTTAAGAATAAGATTTTTTTCAATATTTGGCACTTAATTTTCCCCTATTTTTTTCAAAATGGACGTTTTTGTTGTATTATTATTCCTTCTACCATCATCAGTGCTGATAGAGGGAATATATAACTTTGTCATTCCGTGTGTAACACCAAGAAATATTCATCCGAGACCCAACAAAGTACATATATTCTTGATCCTTATGAAATTCTGAGTCGATTTAGCTATGTCCATCTGTCCGTCCGTCTGTGTAATACACGTTCATGTTAAAACAAAGCAATATAAATTCACGAAATTCACCCAAAATATTCTCTAATATCTGGTACAGTTTGGTATTGAAAATAGTAAAATCTGTTCACGACATAAGAAGTTATGAGTAAAAATTTCAGACTACCTCGAACAAAATAACGTACCTAAGATATTTAGATGAATTTTGTCACACATTATTTTTTGTGCCAGGGATCATGTATGTTCAAACTCATAACAATTGATCCAATATTTCCCATAGCCCCCATACAAAGGTGTATATTCCCGGATAAAAGTTTATCGCTAATAACTCCCTCAAATATATCGGTATCAGCACTAAATTTTTTACATACAAAATATGAATAGAAATCATATTACCTACTAAGATCTCAGTCGGTCCACAATTGGTCATAGTTCCCATATAAGATCCACTTACAAAAGTCACCTAAACGCACCTATTTCATTGATAAATAAAGCTTTTGTCAATCATTCTACCAAATTTATTTTCGGATCGGTCCATTATCATTCATAGCTCCCATATAAGGCCCATTTCCAAACGTCACCTAAACGCACATATTTAATTGTCAAATTAAGGTATCTTGATAAAATTCGGCACAAATATGTTTCGTTTATATATGAATCACTCTACGAAATTTTTTTCGGATAAGACCATAATTGGTCATAGCTCGCATATAAGGTCCACTTTCGAAAATCGCTTAAACGCATATATTTCATAGCTATCGGTATAAAATTCAACTTGAATATGCTTTGTGTACATATAAATCATTCTACCACTTTTTCCCCGGATCGGTCCATTATTGGTCATAGCTCCCGTATAAGGCCCTCTTCCGAAAATCATTCAAACTGACATATTTCATTGTCAAATAATGCTATCTTCATAAAATTCGACACAAATATTTTTTGTGTGCATACATATGAATCACTCTACGAAATTTTTCTGGAGAGGCCCGTAATTGGTCATAGCTCCTATATAAAGTCCGATTCCGAAAATCACTTAAACGCACATATTTCATTACTTAATAAGACTATTGGAATAATATTCGACTTGAATTTTTTTTTGCATATAAATCATTATACGAAATTTTTCCTGATCGGTCCATAATTGGTCACAACTCCCATATAATTATCATTTCCGAAAATTACTTAAACCCACATTGACAATCAAAGTCATCGGGATAAAATTCGACATACATGTGTATTTTGTATATATAAATCGTTATACGGAATTTTACTTCTGAAAATCACTTAATACCACTTAATTCATTATTAAATGATTATATCCAGATAAAATTCGACATGAGGATGTTTGTGTATAGAGAAATCATTATATTAAAACGTTTGCAACTGGCCTATTAATATAAAATTTTATAAACCTAATCAAAATTAGTTCCACATATGCATAAGCGTTAGTACCCTCACTATGGAAGCAATAATTTTGTCAAGTTATCTAAAAATTAGATAGTTATATGGGTTTTAATAAAAAGCAGCTTGCTGGTGGAGGGTATTTAAGATTCGGCATAGCCGAATATAGCACTCTAACTTGTTTTGCTCATTATTATTTAGGCTCTCTCATGTAAATTCAAAAGGTTGGCAATGGAATATGTAAATTTATTAATAATTTATAACAATAAATTAATAATCTTATAAGAATGTATTATTATAAGATCATTGTGAGTATGTGATAATAGATTATAGAGTGTCCCATATATGTTAATTGGTGTGGGTCGAAAATAGGCTTTTCGCTCAGATCAACTTCTAATAGTGAAATTATGTTGTATTTTAACGTCAAATGAAAGACTGTAAAATATTATTCAATTATTTTGAGCCGCCAAAGTTTGTTGCAAATGCGTTTATATGGGAAAAATGTCACTTTTTGGAGTTTTTCCACAAAATGAGGCTTTAAGTATTAATTATTGCAATTTTATAGCAAAATCGTAATGTCTACAAAATTGTCTTTCCAAAAAGATGAAAAAACTCAAAATTGGTTAAAAAATGGTTGAGTTATTAAAATTTCCCCCGAGAATTTTGTGATTCTGAAGACATATAAAAGTAAATATAAGAAAATTTGTTTTAGTTTTGAAAAATTTTACAAACAAATATTTTGTTTATCTTTATAAGATCATAAATATGCTAGTACGAATTTTTGTTCAAATTGGATAACGCTTACTTGGTTTAGTCTGTGGTCGAAAAAGGGCCATTATTTTAGCAGCATCTCCAAAACTCCATTTTCAAACTTTAAAAAATTTTGTTAAATGTATTTTTAAAAATTAAAGTTTTCTATACTGGATATTACAAAGGATATATATAAGAATTAAACACATAGTTTTATCGTACCTGCGATGTGAAATTAAAGGATTTCGGGAAAAAGACAGCTTTTGCCATTAATTAAGTAAAAATTATATTATTATCAATTGTTGCTTAATTTTGATCAATTAAATTGCGATTATTATTTCCGAGTCCATGAAAAGGTTTTTTTGATAAAATTTCCGAAATTAAAAATCATTAACCCTCTAAAAACCGGGGTCAAAATCAAGTTTTTGTATATTTAATATTCTTCATTAAAAATAGCGAAATATTGTGTATTTTATTATGAATTCATTTTGACCAATTACACGAAAATATATCCAGAAATCTAGGAATCAAACTTCTTCAAAAATTAACCCTCTGTCATACTTGGGGTCAATTCAAGACCGATTTTTTAAACACTACAAAAACACTTTAATTTTGACCCCGGTGTTTAGAGGGTTAATGATTTTTAGTTTCGGAAATTTGATCAGAACTAACTTTCCATGGACTCGGAAATAATAATCGCAATTTATTTGATCAAAATTAAGCAACAATTGGTAATAATATAATTTTTACTTAATTATTGGCAAAAATTGTCTTTTTCCCGAAATCCTTCAAATTCACATCGCAGGTACGGTAAAACTATGAGAGGTATTAAGCTCATTCTTTCTGTGTTTAATTCTTATATATATCCTTTATAATATCCAGTATAGAAATCTTTAACATTTAGTAATCCATTTAACAAAATTTTTTAAAGTTTGAAAATGGAGTTTTGGAGGTGCTGTTAAAATAATGGCCCTTTTTTGACCACAGACTAAACCGAGTAAGCGTTATCCAATTTGAACAAAAATTCGTACTAGCACATTTATGAACCTTATAAAGATAAACATAATATTTTTTTGTAAAATTTTTCAAAACTAACAAAAATTTTCTTATATTTACTTTTATATGTCTTCAGAATCACAAAATTCTCGGGGTAAATTTTAATAACTCAAAACTTTTTTAACCAATTTTGAGTTTTTCCATCTTTTTGGGAAGACAATTTTGTAGACATTACGATTTTGCTATAAAATTGCAATAATTAATACTTAAAGCCTCATTTTGTGAAAAAACTCAAAAAAGTGACATTTTTCCATATAAACGCATTTACAAACTTTGGCGGCAACGCGCGGGCTCTTACCCTCAAAATAATTCAATAATATTTTACAGTCTTCCATACATACATACATACATACATACATACATACATACATACATACATACATACATACATACATACATACATACATACATACATACATACATACATACATACATACATACATACATACATACATACATACATACATACATACATACATACATACATACATACATACATACATACATACATACATACATACATACATACATACATACATACATACATACATACATACATACATACATACATACATACATACATACATACATACATACATACATACATACATACATACATACATACATACATACATACATACATACATACATACATACATACATACATACATACATACATACATACATACATACATACATACATACATACATACATACATACATACATACATACATACATACATACATACATACATACATACATACATACATACATACATACATACATACATACATACATACATACATACATACATACATACATAGTTTCCCAGATAAACGAATTTTTGTCTTAATTAATATGGGAGGTGCCGCTCCCCTCATGGGTAGTCCTCTAATTTATTACCCAAAATGTTTAGATGGATGTTAAAGTTTTTCGTGCAAAATTTGAAGATTCTAACTGTAATAGTTTCCAAGATAAACGTATTTTTGTATTTAATTTAAATGGGAGGTGCCACGCCCCCTAATGAGAGTCCGCCTACTTTTTGTCCTAAATAATTATATTGACACTAAAGTTGCTCCGACAAAATTTGAGGACTCTAACTGTTATATTATTTAAAATATACGGATTTAATATTTTCTTAATATAGGCGTGGCTCCT